CAAGAGCAACACGGACCCGGGGGACCATGGAGGTGCCCAAGACCAACACGGACCCGGAGCACCATGGAGGTGCCCCGACCCGAGCCGACCTACGCGGTGCTCGGTCCTACCCGAGCTCGGCACCACACCCAAGCTCGGGACCCGACCCGACCCGGTCCGCCCGGGCCCGGTCAAAGTGAGATCTAACCACCCCCGATAGGGGGAGGCGGTTGGGGGGTTAGCTTTTATAAAAACCCCCCTCCTTGTCCTAAGAAAGGGCGATTCATTACATATTCTACACTTATTACACACTTTGTCCTATCGGATCTTTGTAATAGCCAAATACTACGGCAAATATAATATACGGTCCCCAGCGACCTTTACGAAATCGTTCTATATTATTCGTTTATTATTCTTATTATATTCTTATCCGGGTTTATTGATTCGGGTCCATCCCGAGTTAATTAAATCCATCATATATATTATATATATATATATATATATAATAGTAATTTTGAAAATGTCTTTGTCGTTATATACCATGAATAAGTTAAAATGTACGAATTATTAATTTGCATTATTAAATCAACACAATTTTTAGGAATAAGGGTCGAATAGATCGATAATGTAATTTTAAAAAATAATTATTTAATATTCTCAAAAAAAAAAAAAAAGTAGGACTTCATCTCCCACCGGAGGCGAAGAATTTCTTCTTCTTCAATTGTGGAGATGAAGAATGATTCTTCGTATAGAATTCGCGTTTCGTACCTGAATATCGAGTTCGCATTTCGTACCTAAATATCATATAGAGTTCGCGTTTCGGGAACCTGAATACCTAATCAATCTCCTAGGGCCTATCAACAACTAACTTACCCATAAAAGATAAACAAGCCTAACCAGCTTGCTTAGACACACCATTCCAATTTGCACCCAAATGCAGAAATCCAACAGATTTTCCTTTGCATTGTGTGCAAGTCTTCTAATCGCTTTGTTAGATCTAATGGGTACTCTCTACACAGAACCAGGCTCCTGATCCGGTAGTGGCCGGAGACGAAGAATACGAAGTCCTTTTAAACAAAAATATTATTTTTAAAAAATTATTTTAAATTTGAGTGACCTGTTAGAAATCTGTAAATTGAAATAATTTTGGTTAGTTTAGAGATTTAATTGTAGAACTTTTAGATTAAGTGGCCTAATTGCATTATCGTATGCAGTTAAATGGCATATTTGACTCTAATTTTTATTCTCACCTTGTTATAATTTTACAAACATTGATTTTTATTATATTTAGTAGATTAGTAGATTATAACAATTAAACTAAAGTATTAATTATTTATTATTTAAAAACTATACTGAACATTTATTTATTTTAATTTTTGTTTTCGACTTTAATTTAATGGTGCAATTCGCCTATTATAACTAGATCGATTGACTTTTCTTTACCGACAATCTGGTTGGAGGCTATTTGTGCAAACGTTAATAAAATGAAAGATAATGTGCAGTGAGAATCCTTGTTCGTCTACGTGGTTTGGTAATTGTGGAAAGCTCGTAATGATCTTGTTTTCAACGGGAAACACTAGTTGGCGATGGAGGTGATCCAAAAGGCAAAGCAGGATGCAAAGGAAGCTGATCAACTTCTAGAGAGGCGAGTGGATATGGATCGCAATATTCAACGTAGGTTACGTGAACTCTCCTGATCGCAAGCAAGGTTAAATTGATCACTGGTGCACTGAAAAGCGGTCACTAGACTAGGGAGTGTTGGTGAGATCATCAAGGACCATGAAGGGAATTGGATCCATGGCTTTACTGTGAAAATTGGCAAAACTACAAGCTTTGTCGCGGAGTTTTGGGAACTTCATGAGAGTTTATCATTAGTGCGAGATTTGGGCCTCAGTGTGGTGCACGTGGAACTCGACTCTGAAACTGTTATCAACGCCTTTATGGGGACCATATAAGATAGGCCTGAGACGAAACTTTATTAACTAATTGTAAAATTTTTTTAATCGGATTGGACTACTATGATTCGTCTTTAGGAAATGCAATCAATATGCTGATTTCATAGTCATCTGGAGACAAAATTACGAAAGGGTATTACAATAACTAGTATTTGCACCCGTGCGATGCACGGAATGGATTTGTTGTAATATATTAAGAATATATGAATCGATATATAATTATTTAAATTAGAACATCAAATATTATATAGTACAATTAAAGATATAATTTGGATCGTTTATATATTTTGATGTTATCATTGCTTGAATTTGTGCAAATAATTGCTCATATTAATAGCTAATATCTAGATGTACGCATGCGGTGCTATAACTTTGAAGATTTTATTTATCATTATTTAGTATTTTCATAAATTAGGCAAATGTGTTCGCTCTCTAACAACTCAGTTATAGAAATGAATTGTCATCCTTCTTCATTTGTATGGAAGATATATTTTTTTTGTCTAGATATATAGCAATTTTTCATTTAAAAAAGGGAGAAGTGTCAAATAGGCCCATGTACTATTATCAAGTGCTCAATTCCCACCATGAACTAAATTAAATTAAAGACTAATTAACCACACTTACCTACTAAATTTGTTCAATTAGCTTTTTTTGCAGGTAATTGACTTTTTTTTTTTTTGCAGGTTACCAATTCAATTATTAAAAAAAATAATTTCAAAATAATTTAAAAATTATTATTAAAAAAAAAAAAAGAATACAGCCGGTGGCTGTATTCTTTTTTATTTTATTTTATTTATTTATTTTAATAATTAAATAGGTAACCTGTTATTAACCTGTAAAAAAAAGTCAATTGAACAAATTTAACTCGTAGATGAACCTATTTGACACTTAATTTAGTTCGTGGTGGAAATTGAGCACTTCGCAGTAGTAGATGAGCCTATTTGACACTTGTGCCTTTAAAAAAAACTTAATATCACCGATTATATTTACACATTATTGAAACTAGACGATTATATTGTAGTCTAATAGTTATGCAAGTCTTCAATGGAGAAATATCCTAGGTAAGGATAAATATTAGAGCTGTAAAAGTTGTATGTTAGTAAATATAAATAAATGAATACATGAATATAAGGAATATAAATAGTATACATATCTATATATAATTACGCAATATAAATAAATGAATATAAAGAAAAAATATTACTCCGTATCAATTAATAGATTTACCAATTAGGTTAATACGTGAATATAGAAATAATATTATTAATTAATAAATTTTAATAAATTTTAATTTTACATTTGGTTACCAAAAGGTTGAACTTTTTCCATTGTTTGTGTTGGTACTTTGGTTCACATCCACATAACACACATGAATGAGGCATGCAGAGAGATTAGGGTTTCTTGGAGGGTGGTTGACCCTCTCTGCTACGCCATTGATTTCATCTCCAAAACAATTCAACAGCCCTCTTTCATGGAATTGAAGTATGGATAATGCAACATTAACATAACCCCCAAATCTCAGGGTTTAGCCCTCAGATGTTCTGAAGCTGACGCTCTCAGTCTTTCTGAGCTTCTTTACAATTTCTTCAATTTTCCCTGAAACAACAATAATAATATCCTCTTTCTTTTTTTTTTTTTTTTTTTTTTGGTAATCCTGGATTCATGAGGCTGTGATGATTCTCTCTGAGCGGATTTATCGGGCACGGACTGATCCAACCCGTATCTTGGCGGGGCAAACAGGCTACCCGGCTTGTTTGCAGCCATGGCGGTGTAGGAATAACCCTCTGCCCAGCAGCAAATCTGAGCCTCGCGTATGATCATTGATGGTTGGTCTATCAAAAGCCCAGTCTGAATCAAATCGGCGACAGAGATGACCCGTAGCTTAGCAGATTTTGCAGCCATGGTTGCGTGATCAGGTTCTGTGGTTTAGATCCGGGCCGTATTGGTGGGAGATAAAATCTTGATGGAATACACCCCCTAAGTCTGTGTTTAGTTCAACAAGGCTGTGATGATATTTTGAAGCTCGAATCTGAGCCTCGCAACTGCAGTAGTTCTGCTGATGATTCCGTGAATCGAACTAGGACCTTGTGGTTTATAAAACATTAAAACCTGTTCCATTGTCTGTTTTGGTTGGAATTTCAGCTGTAAAGAATGAAAATTTCAATAGTAAGTAGCCGTGTCCTCATGGTCTCTTGAAAAGAATAGAGATTTCAATTCGCTGGGTTACCCCACGTATAGTCATATATAAAGCTGGGCTGTTCCCGGTTCGTTCGCAACTTAGGCACCATCGTTCCGCATTCGTCTGCAACTTAGGCACCATCGTGCCGCATTCGTCCGCAACTTATATATATGAGTCAATATGACTTGCTTAGCAAATCTTTGAGTAGTTGTGTTGTTTTGGAGATGTGCAGCTGAGATTTCTTGATGGCCATGGGCCCATGGTATGGGGTGCTTATCAATTTGTTTGGCATCTTGTGAAATCTCTGTTGTGAGAATGAGGCTCAAATTCAGAGAGGCATGGGAGTTCTTAAGGGTGGTTGCCCCTCTCTGAAACATAGCCACTGATTTCATCATAATCAGCAAATTGCGAAACAGCCCTTTATGGTGAATTATACACACAACAAATATATGATGAACATATAATATAAACTATAAACATGTTATCTAACTATCGGCTTGAAGGGACAAAAAAAAAACATCTTCCTTCTCCAATTATATACATATACTGATTTGAACTAAACGCCCCCTTATTTCTGTGCTTCTGTTAGAAAATATTTGCATCTCCTTCACTAGTCTTAATTTGTTTGCCACTGAAAAGGGGAGAAAGAAACTTGCAATACTGAGGAGGCTGTGATGATACCTTTTTTAGTAATAATAATTGTTTGAAAAGACTTTGAGCTATTCCATTAGCTTGGCTTGGCAACTCAGAAGGTCTGGGTGATGGAGGAAGATTATAAGTTGAGCCTAACTGTTTCTTCTTAAATTCTTTCTCCATTTTTCTCTAGACAACTGTTGTTAGCAGCCTGGCAGTTTAGCTCCTTTTCTTGATTAAATAGGCGAAAATCTGAGCCTCCTGCTACTTATCAACAATGAATTCTGGAGAAGAATGAGGTTGCAGAGAGCCATGGGGATTTCTAAGGGTGGTTGCCCGTCTCTGTAAGCCGATGATTTTCCACAATGTAAACAACCCTTATTATGTATGTATATATATATATATATATATATATATATATATATATATATATATATATATATATATATATATATATATATATATCTGTGATCTATCTATGGCTCTGTTTGGTATCACTGTTTAGAGTTTTTTTGAGTACTACTGACTCCAATGGGGCGTTTGGTTCACGGAATCTTGGATTACCCCAGCGTATTGGCTGCTGATATCCGAGTAATCAACTATCAGCTTAGGCTTTTGTTGAGATGGAGCACATGCTTTAATTCTCATTCATCTTCATCCTTCTTGCCCTCTTTTTCATCGGCGCCACCGCCACTGCCACAGCAACCACGAAATTCATGGGACTTAAGTGTCTGATAACCTGTGATTTTCGGTTACGTGTGAGTCTGTGATGATGAATTTCTAGAGTTCACTGGGGATGGAGAAAAGCCGATCCCTTTATGGCGTGGCGATTTGTGATCCCGAGATATATCTCATGTGCGAACTGGATTGCAGCCATGGGGGTTGTCTTCTCTACCATGCCTGTCTAAATGACAGATCTGAGACTCATTTTGATGATAAAATTGGATCTATAGTCACACTGAATGAGTTTCAGCTCATGAAGTTAAGACCAGGTCCAATTTGGTTCGCTATCCTGACCATGATTGTCACACCACTAGGGGGAAAGTACTTCCCTTTAGGCCGGTTGTGGGCGAGGAGGGATTCGGGCCATCGACAACGTGGTTCTTCGCCACACGCTCTAATCCTTTGAGAGGCTGCAGGGGGATGCGAAGTTTCTAAGGGTGATTTCTCCCCTCTGCATGCCAATGATTTCCCCTAATCGTCAAAATAAATTACCCTTTTGAAATGCAGTACGGAGTAGTAGTACTAGTATATATGTGCTATGCTTTCTGGTCCATGGTATAACGATATATTTGCTGTCCTTTATGGTCCTTGGTATAACAATTGATTTGCAATTGACGCTTCTATTAGAGGTGTTGTTACTTTCCCACCAATAGGCTATGATGATTTTAGTAAGAGCTATTTAGTGTTCCATGGGCTTAGAGGCAATGTGATCCGTATCTTGGCAGGGCAAATCTGGATGAAACTGAGGTTTGCAGCCATGGCGGTGTCTCTCTCCTCTTGCCCATTCATATATACAAGATCTGAGCCTCCATTCTTACTCTTCATTCCAGAAGATGCTGTTGAAAAAAAAAAAAAACATTTATGCATTTTGACAATTTTGGCCAAACCTTTTATATTTGGCTTGGAAATTTTGTACACTTTGCATCAAATCTCTGTCATGAGATTTAATTGCTTTTCAGAAATGAATGATGGTGCAGGAGGTTTTGGGGCTTTTTAAGGGTGGTTGCCCATCTCTGTATGTCTGTATTTCAGAATTAACAGCCCTTACATAATTTTTCTTTGGTTGAATATGAATACAGGCCAATGTGTCCTGTATACGTATGTGGGTTTAGGGTTTGGTTTTGAGTTAGGGTTGATATCCAGCCCAGCTTCCCCTTATTGGCAAATTATGCTGTAGAACCATGTAACCTTATTTATCATCTTCTTCTTCTTCATCATGATTATCCTTGTTCTTATTTTCTGATTTTTCATGGATGGGGATCATGAGGCTGTGAAGATGATGTTCTAGAGTTTATTGGGCAACCAATGCATTCATGGCAGGGGGACCTTGAATTTCATTGCTTTCTGCTCATTGAAATACACTTAATGTCACTGTTAATCTTGGTAGGCTGTGATGGTGGTAAAACCTTTCTTAGAGTTTCATGGGCATGGAGATCACAAAACTTGTATCTTGGCAAGGTAAACATGCACAAAATTGATGTTTGTAGCCATGGCGGTGTTACTCTACTTTTGCCCAATCATGTAAAAGATCTGAGCCTCCATCCTTACTCTTCATGAATGTGTTGAACTAATATATATGTAAATGTGTGTGTGTTTGTGTGGTCATATATAGCACCATTAATACCGTGTGTGTGATTGAACTATAAGCAAACATTGTTGTATGTGCAAAGCCAAAGTTTTGTTTTGTTTGAATTTTTTTTGGATAGGGACAATTCAGTCAGACATGGTTGGATAGCACTTCTGGAAGGGAAAATTTGATGGTTGTGAATAATACTTGTTGAAAAGGAAAAAGAGATGAACCCTGAATCCTGGTTCTTTATCTAAGGCCTCCCCACTTTGTTAAATTCTCATGTACAATGTTACTGGCTCTCCACATCCTCTACACTTGGCTTCAAGATCTTAGGCAAGGATCTAATTAACTGTCTCTATATGTATATGGAGGTATCAAATATCTATAGAGATTCACTGTTTTCAATTTTCTCAACTTTGATACGGATGACTAAGGCTGTAGGGGATTTGGGAATTCTGTGGTTGGTTGCCCATCTCTGTATACCTATGATTTTCCCAAAGTTAAACAACCCATATAGTATAGTAATCTGTCTGTATATGTAGTTTAAGCTTTGGGTTAGACCCAGGGTTGAGATCCAACTTAGCTTCTCCATCCTCATCCTCACTCTTATCGATATCATCATTGCCACCTGTGCTGCAACTTCTGATATTGGTTAGGAGTGTGGCTGTGATGTTTAATTTTAGAAGTTCATCTAGCATGGAAAACCACCCTGCTGGTGGAGCTGTCTGGAAGGCCTGACAGATATCTCACTGGTGTAACTGGGTTGGCACTTGGCAGCCACGGCGGTCTTCTCTACTATGCATGTCAGAACAATAAGTCTGAGCCTTATTTTGATTATTAAGTTCCTTTCCAATTTTCCTTGCAAAATTAAATAGTTGGTGTGACATCTTTAAGCTACGTTTTTTTAGATGTACGCATGCATATATGCTGTGGTTCCAATCTAAGCACTCAGGTGTATGTTTCATGATGATCTTTTCTTATTTGTCAAGACTCATAACTAGGAGTGGCATTTAGAAAGTGCATAAAGAGCAGCAGCAGAACATACCTTAACGGCTTAACAGGTACCAAATTGTTATTACCATCTTTTAACCTTCTCTTTTGTCTAAAAAAACTGTGACTCCTTAATCCATGGCTGCCATGTTAGTGTAGCTTTTATACATTTCTGTGCTTCCGTGTTTTTGCAGGTGTTTTTAAGCCTTCCCTTTTCTGTTTTACTGGAAACAAACGTGATGGACAACATTGTCGCCCCGCCCACTTCATGCTCTTGCACTGTTACACCATCGCTGAAACACCATGACAAGAGTGCCTAACAAGAATGAGAACTTGCTTGATGTGCCATTACAATTTGGTGTTGTATTGCAGATGTCATCTTTTAGTGTCAACTTGTGATTCCATTGCATCCCTCTGATTGGATTCAAGAGCTAGCAGCAGGTGGAGTGTTTTGTTGTTGTTCTTGTTGTAAAATCACTATAACTAATTAGGTTATGAAAATATGTTAAGAAAACCAAATAAGAGATCTTTTGTTATTCAAAAATCTTTGTAATTTTACTCTCAACAGGAGAGTTAATTTTGCTACTCACCTTTCATCAGCTGTAAAATGGTAATTTCAAGGTTAATCTTCAACATTTAATGTTGAAAATTTTAATTTTAATTTAATTTTTTAGTTAACAAAATTATTTTAAGTCGAGTGAAAATGTCTAAAATGCTGACATTTGATCATATTTTTTATTCTAAACAAATACATCTTGGACTCCTGTCAAAAATACATCTTGGACATTTTTTTAGAATGTGTCATAACTTCGAAAATTAGGAAGCAAATTTGTCAAATTGGTTGATAATATTTTAGAATTATAGAAAATTTTATAATACTAAAAAATATTACATTGTTCCAATCATTTATATCATGGATTATGGTCAATAAATATTCATTTTTAGTATACTAAATGTTGTTGTAATTAGTTAGTTGTCTGTTGGCCTTTAGCTTCTAACCGGTGAATTGAATCAATATAACATAGAGTTAATTCCAGCAATGGTTCCCTGAGTATGATGATTTTTCACAATTAGTCCTCGACTTTTAATTTGGACAATTTGACCACCTGACTATTAAAATCTTTCCAATTGTGATCCTTCCCTCAAATCCTGGTTAAGTGGATGTTAACTTGAAGGGTAAAAGCGTCATTTCCCAAATTGCCTCATTGTTACTGAAATGTTTGGTCGAAGGTTGTCTAGGTTTAGAAAGAAGCCTCTGCAACCTCATTTTCAGCAGAAACTCGATCCATTACTCTCACAAGCATTCTGAATAATGTACAAATACAATTGGTTATGAAGATGGCCTCCCATTTTCAAACCTGAGAAACCCTCCACCAAGAACATCATCGTACTCGTCAATGGCCAAAGATTTGGAGACGGAGAGCCAAGTTTCGGAGAGTCAATGGCCAAAGACCTGAGAAACCCTCCACCAATGACCTCGCTTTTTTTGCCTTGCAAAGCCTCGCCTAAGCTCCCGTTTCTCATGTACTCGTACACCAGAAGGTTGGTGTCCTTATTAGAGTAGAACGCCAGCAATTGGACGATGTTTCGGTGCCGGATGTTGCCTAGGGTCCGGATCTCGGCCCGTAATCCGTGGTCGTGGGTGGTGCTGTTTAATTCCAGGAGTTTTTTCACCGCGATTTCGACGTTGTTAAGGGTTTTGCCGTGGTAGACTATCCCGACCGATCACATTGCCGTCTCTCAGGTATTCCAAGACGTCGGAGACTGTGAAATCCAGCTTCTGGAATGATGTCATTTTCCACGAACCGACTCGTTTTCTTGAAAGACTTGACCTTGATGATGGCGGCAGCCGCGAAAATCAGGGAGCAAATTAGGAGGTCCAGTGCGATAATCAGCTTGAAATCGCCGTGGGATTTCCCCTGCGGGCTGGAAATTGGGGCAAGGTCGCATGGGTTGTTCAGAAAAGATCCACAGAGGTGAGGGTTGCCGGCGAAAGATGTGGCGTTGAAGAAGGCAAATTAGGAGATTGTTGATTGAACATGGCCGTTGAGAATGTCACACCGAAAGATACAGACGAGAATGATGATTTTGAGGAACTGCGTGACGAAGAGGGGGTTGTTGTTTCTGGCTTTCGTGTTTCGGCTGGCGGGGAGTGGTCTGAGCTCGTCGCCGGTCCCAAATGCATCGTTTCCGGCGTGGACATAATAATTCAGACGGGAATGAAGATAAAATATACCCTCAATAGGGAAAATGACGCTTTTACCCTTCAAGTTAACATCCACTTAACTAGAATCTGACGGAAGGACCACAATTCGAAAAATTTTGATAGTCCGGTGGTTAAATTGTCCAAATTAAAAGTCGAGGACCAATTGTGGAAAATCACCATACTCGGGGGACCATTGCTGGAATTAACTCATATCATATAATATGCAAATGTAGAATAAGAGACAATGAGAGGTAGAACAAGAGACAAGTAGAGTCATCATTCCATTTCACTGGCCAACTCGATACGATGTTACAACAAGCATATATAATGTACAAACAATAATGACGATACTAACGATGATCATTACAACAGTTGATAAGTGCTTATTTGTCTATATTTTTCCCCCCTTCACTAAGCCATTTTGCTTATAGATCATTCCAAATTTCATGAGATTATGATTAAATTGTGTTATTTTGCAAGGAGTTTTGTTTGGAAACAAAGATGGGTATTTTCAGGCATTTTGGTGGACATTGGAGTCAAATGGAGCATTTTGGATGCATTAGAAATCCATGGGAGCCAAGGAGAAGCTATGGAGATGGACAAAACACTTCCAATGAAGCCTAAGGGTGGTGCTTTGAATGGTCTTGGTCATTTGAGCAAACCAAAGCAAAAGATCAATGCATTGCAATTCCCGACCTGCACGTCAACATCATAGTATTTTGATCATATCTCGAGCTACAAATGTCCAATTGAAGTTATTCTTATGTCATTGGAAATCTAACTTGAAGGGCTACAGCTTTTATTCAAGCACCAAAAGCTAATTCAGACGTTTAGAGGGTGAAAAATGACCTAGAAGACAGACTCAGTGCACAGGCAGTGCACACTGCCTTGTGGCCACGGGTCTGGCCACGCCCGTGGCCACTGGGCAGTGTAAACTGCATTTCTGGCCACGGGTGAAGCCACGCCCGTGGCCACACCCGTGGCCAGCCCTCTGCAACTTTATAAATTTCGTTTTTCACTCATTTTAGCTCGGTTTTGACCCATGGTTGAGCCCTAACGTCTTTCTTTCACTTCCTTTCATATTGTAGTGTTAGATTAGGTTTAGATTTAGGTTTCTTAACATATTTCAAGCTTGTAATCAAGGATTCAACACTTGGATTCCAAGATTTACCATCCATTTCTTAGTGAAGTTTTCTTCTCTCTTTTATCTCTTTATTTTGCAATGTTTATGCTTTATATTTATGTTTTTGTGTTCTTTATGCTATTGAATCATGAGTAGCTAGTTTATGGACTTGAGTTAGAGTTGTATTATCTATCTTGATGCTTGATTTGTAATTATTGCAAAAAAAAAAAAAAAAGGAAGAACTCCAACCTAGGGTTCATGTGTTTGTGAAGGTTTTGTATTTATATCTTGTTAATATTTGATGTACACATTCATTAGCTTGTTTTTGGAGGATTCCTTGCCTCAATGAGAGTTGGGTGATGAATCCAAGCCACCCCTTGCATAGACCCGATTTCTTCCTACGAAAATAGGGAAAATTGGGGGCTTTAGATGCTTTGTGTGCTTGATAGACTTGGAATTGATTCACCACGAAAGTGGGGCATTTCTTTGTCCTAATCCTTGTTTATTAATCATGAGAATGGTTCATAGACTAGAAGACCTACGTGCATTCCCGCTTGATTCCTTGGTTACTTGTTCTCCCTAATCCCTTAGGTTGTTAAAGCATCTAGATGATAATGCTCCCTAGCTCTAGTCATATCTCTTTATTTTGTGTTTATCTTTGTGTATATGTGTTAGTCTTATCATTTCCTTAAACTTGTAGTTTGCTTAGCTTCTTGTTGATTTCCTTATGCTAGTGCCTAGTTTATTGTGATTGCATATTGCGTTCCATATCCCCCAATCCCCTGAGGACGATATTTCACACCCGAGATCACATCTTATTTTTGTTACAATCAACAGTTATGTATTGAATGCCCATAATCTATATCTATATATCTATATATATATATATATATATATATATATATATATATATATATATATATATATATATATATATATATATATATATATATATATATATATATATATATATATAAGTAAAATCCTCCTAACAAATTTTCCCCCCAAAACTTTTGTACTAAAACTTATTTGGTAAGTAAATGTCAAATGGAAATTAAATTAAATAAATAATAATAATAATAATAAGGGAAAATGACACTTTTTCCCCTGAATTATATACTTATAGCACTTTTTCCCCCTCAATTATTTAAGTGGCTGTTTTTCCCCCTAAAATGTTAAATGGACATATTTAATTATCCTTAAAATAAATATTTCATTTATTTTTCTTCTCCAACAAATTATGACCATAATTTGGTTCAAACCGAACAAACACTATAGCAACCAAACCGAAATATTCCAATTACAATTTAGAATCGATACTCGATATTTAAAATTTATTAAAATCACGAACCGGAACGGACGGTTCATGTTCGAACTAAAAAAATAAAATACATTTATTGTTGAATTTAGACTATTTTTAAAATAAAAATAAAATTTTAAAATAAAGACGGTTCAAAATCGCGAACCGGATCCGGAATCGCCGGTTCACGGTTCAGGATCCAATTTTTTTGATTCATAATTTTAATAAATTGAAATCCAAATATTGGGTTCTAGATCTGAATCATAACCGGAAACTTCTAATTCAATTGCTATAGTGTCCGGTTCAGTTCGAATCGAACCGTGGTCATCCCTACGTATATGCAATAATTTGTTGGAGAAGTAAAATAAATAAAATGTTTACTTTAAGGGTAGAAATGTCAATTTAATATATTAAGGGGAAAAACTACCACTTTTAGAATAATTGATGGGACTAATGTGCTTACCTAAATAATTGAGGGGTGAAAAATGCTATAAGTATATAACTCAGGGGGAAAAAGTGTCATTTTCCCTAATAATAATAATAATAATAATAATAATTTTATTACCTTAAATAAATAAATTATTATACTTTCCTTTTGAATTAGTGTTTTCTACCTATAAATACAAGGGCTTCTTCAATCAAAGAATCTCAGACTCATCTCTCTGCTTTCTTTTTGTATGAATTTTTTACATTTTTCTAACTATATTCACACGTACTTCAATATGTTTTGCAGTTTATATCGTCTGGTATGAGTTCGAAGATATTTAAGGAGGCTCTGCTTCAACAAAAGGAAATTGAGGAGGAAGAGCATTTGTAACAAAACCATATTGGTTTAGTTTTTATGGAAGATTGTAGAAATGCGATCGAGGATGATAAAGACGGTAATTTTGATGATTTTGTAAGATTTTCTGAAACTTAGAGTTAGTATGTTGATTTCGAGATTTGTACATGTCATTCA